CCCTCCTCAGGCAGGAAACCCTGTATCATTTCAGACAAGTTATTGTCCAGTCTCTTCTTAAAAACTTCCAGTGTTGGAGCATTCATAGCTTCTGGAGGCAGGTTGTGCCACTGGTTAATTGTTCTAACTGTCAGGAAATTTCTCCTTACTTCTAGGTTTCTTCTCTCTTTGCTTAGTTTCCATCTGTTGCTTCTTGTCCTGACTTCAGGTACTTTGGAGAATAGCTTGACTCCCTCTTCTTTGTAGCAACCCCTGAGATATTGGAACACTGCTATCATGTCACCCCTCGTCCTTCTCTTCATTAAACTAGACCTACCCAATTCCAGCAACCGTTCCTTATATATTTTAGCCTCCAGTCCCCTATTCATCTTTGTTGCTCTTCTCTGTACTCTTTCTAGAGTCTCAACATCTTTTTTACATCATAGTGACCAAAATTGGATGAAATATTCCAAGTGTGGCCTTACCAAGACATTGTAAAGTAGTATTAACACTTCACTTGATCTTGATTCTATCCCTCTGTTAATGCAGCCTAGCACTGTGTTGGCTTTTTTGGCAGCTGCAGCACATGACTGGCTCATATTTAAGTGATTGTCCACTAGGACTCCAAGATCCCTCTCACAGTTACTACTATTGAGCAAGGTACCCCCTATATTATACCTGTACATTTGGGTTTTCTTGCCTAAATGTAGAACCTTACTTTTTTCACCACTGAATTTCCTTTTGTTAGATAGGACCCAGTGTTCAAATCTGTCAAGATTCTTCTGTATCTTAAGCCGATCTTGTGGAGTGTTGGCTATTCCTGCCAGCTTTGTATCGTCTGAAAATTTGATGTGTTCCCCATCTATCCCCTCATCCAAATCATTGATGAAGATGTTGAAGAGCACTGGGCCCAGAACAGAGCCCTGGGGCACCCCACTACACACTTCCCTCCATGTAGATGAAGTTCCATTGAAGACCACATGCTGAGTATGGCCGGACCGCCAGCTACGAATCCATATGGTGATAATGCTGTCTAACCCACATTTTTTTTAAATTTTATCAAGTAGTAGGTTGTGATCTACTTTATCAAATGCCTTACTGAAGTCCAAGTTATTCTGTTCTGGGCCCAGTGCTCTTCAACATCTTCATCAACGATTCATCAACATCTTCATCAACGAGGGGATAGATGGGGAAATCTAAGACCACCTCCATCAACATGGACAGGACAAGCCACTAGAATGAGAGCAAACCCCACTCCTTACTAGCACTGATGATATTACCTAGTTTGGGTAATGAAATGTCTGCAAGAAAACAATTAAACTCAGAAAGCACAAGGACTGCTAATTCATCAAATGTATATAATTGTCTATCTTACAAAAGAATGGCTCTTGCCAGTATAAAATAAAACAGTAATACATAAAAAGTATTATGCAGAAAATGTTAAAAATCATTATTAAAGACTAAGAGAGGATGGCAGATAGCAAATACAATGGAACAACCTTAGTACCTCTCTGGTTTCATGTGACTCTGAAGCTATATACCATAATCAGGTTTTGGGGAGAAATACATTCTGTAAGGAGGGCACCATACCAGAAAAGGCCTTCCTCTTATATTAAACCAAGTGTAGCTCTTAAACAGGCAGATACAAGAGGTAAAAGAGTCCCGGCAGATTTTACTCCACTAGTCATTGCTGACTGTGGGGAGCAGTTCTCATCTTTGTTTGAAGGCCATTGAGCAAGAGTTGTCCAAAAACATTTCCATGGTCATGTGGCCAGCATTATATCATGGAGCATTGTTACCTTCTTATTGAAGTGATACCTATTTATATACTTACATCTGCATGCTTTCAAACTGCTGGGTTGGCAGGAGCTGGGGTGAGGACGGGAGGTCACCCAGTCACGTGGAGTTTGGGTCTCGAACTTGGGCTGCAAGCTTTCCAGCTAATAAGCCCAGCATCTTAACCACTCAGCCACTTACCACCACCCCCCAAAACAGTCAAGACACATAGTATAGCTCTTCCAATCTTATCGGATGGGCAGACAAACTCAGGTGGATATGGTTCTATAAATAACCCAGTCTTATGCCATAAAATATTTTAAAGTTCAAAACCAGCACCTTGAATTGGATCCAACAACAATCTGGCAACTCACAGAACAGAGATGTAATATGCACCATTCTAGAAGCACATATAGAAGCACACCACTGTATTGTACATGAGGTGAAGCTTCTGAAGCTTTTGAACACACTTCAAGGACAGACCCCTGTAGTCCACTTGGTCAGCTGACTATGGCATAAGACCCTCCCAATCTAGGAATTGGCTCAATTGGTACATAACACAAAGTATTATTGAAAGGCCCTCTTAGCCATGACTGCCATCTGCTCTTCATGAGGGACTCCAGGTTTTGCACGAAGTCTGTAGAGTCCCATCCAGCCACCAAATATGGAGGAGGAGGAAGAGGAAGAGGAAGAGGAAGAGGAGGAGGAGGAGGAGGAGTTATTTGAATTGAAATATGAGAGATTTCATAAAATGTATAACTCAGAGCATGTACGTGTACATATATGCATGCTTTTACAAACAAAATAAAGCAGTGCTTAAACAAAAGATGATATTGATCATGTTTAGAGATTAAAATTAGATCTTTATCTGTAACATATAAAATCCTTACCAGCAGTAAGAGATTCAGAGAGAAGTAAACCTCCTATGAATTAAACTAAATGCCAAATGTAATTTTAAAACAAATGCACAGAAAAAGATATGGTTCTTGAATTCCCACTCTGAAAGAAGTATGAAAGAAGCCCAACTTCACAGAAATATATTTCTTAGGATGTGAAAAAAGCAGAAAGCAGCTCTCTCCTGTTTGAAGGATAAATAGAAAGACTTAAACTTAAATTTTATATATTCAGAGTAATTCCAGTAAACAGTCTCTGAGCCATTTGGAAACAGTGGGTTATAAATTATTTTATTATTTTCTTTCAGGCACATAATGCATGATGATCACTATTTGTCTTAGACTAAGACCCAAAGTCAACAAATCAGTTTCTATGTCTAAAGGTGGACTTAAACATGGCTTTAAATAGCTTTTTAAAATATGACATATGACTTATTTGGGGAAAGAAGAATGACATATCTGAATATATTAAATATTATTTTAGGTTGAAAAATAATCAGGTAAAGGATATCATTAAAGCACTGGACTTATACAACTCATTATCAGTCATGATGTGGCAGGTTCCAAACTTTTAATTAAATGTTTTAAAAAAAGTTGCAGGAGTTCAAAAATAAAGTCAGGATTTTGACCACCCCCAGAAACATATTTGAGGGAAATTTTAATCTTGATGTTCCTGACAAATGCTTGCACACAACTGTTTACAAGGTAAGAGCTTCACGAGTCCTCTTCGAAAGCATTAGGAGACACTCCAAAAATAGATTGGAGAATAGTAAATAACAAACAATAAAGTATTTTCTTTTATTCATGCTTTTATTAAAATTTGATTTGTTAGAGTGGAAATAGAATAGAATAGCATAAAGGTCTAAGTTTAATGTTGCAGAAATATTATGACATGTACACATTCTTCATTCTATAATGACCTGAACTGAAGGCACAATTACTCTTGGTGGCTAGCATATGGTGTAAGAACTTGACAATACATGCATTATTTAATCATTATTTTTATTAATTGTGCCCTATTTACCTCAGGTCTCAGCACAGTGATGAAGCATTTAAGGGAAAAAGACACACAAATAAATCAGCACTGATGGTCAAGATGAAAAAGTTCTTCACAACCACCATGCTTTGTGGTTGTGCTCACATAGGTTGTGGTTGTGCTCATATAGGTTGGCACAAAGGAGACACATGCTGCAAAAGACCAACATGATAAAGGGATGAACTTGGCTTCATTGAAGCTTCCAGGCATTTTACAGGCAGATAAAGTCATGATGAAGCTTGTGAAGGCCATGAGGCCTATATAGACAGGACAAAGTAAAACTTGAAAACTGGCCTTCATTACATTAACAATAGTTATAATTACATTATAACTGAAAAGCTGAATTGGTCTCTCCATGCGTCATCCTTAGTGAAGTGTGCAAACCAGCATCTGCATTTCCTGCATCGGATGAGGAGAGCAACTATTTCTACTTCTGTCCTGGCCACTTTTTACAGAGGCACGATTAAGAGCATTTTAACAAACTGCATCACTGTTTGACTGAGTGGTAGCAAAGCCTCAGATAGATAGAAGGTCCATACAGAGAGTGGTAAGGACAGCTGAGAAGATTACAGAAAGCTCACTTCCTTTGATTCAGGACACTGGTTATAAGCACTTATGCAGTGCTTTTTCTAAAAAAAAAAAAAAAAAAAAAAAAGGTGCCGGAACTCACACACGTCATACAACCCGCCTTGCCTACCCTACAAGGTTCCACCCAAAAAAGGTGCCTGAACTCCGTTCTGGGCGTTCTATGAGAAAAAATGCTCTGCTTATATGTACTTAGAGCTCGGAACATTGTTAGAGACCCCATACACCCACTTCAGGGTCTGTTTCTGTTGTTCCCCTCTGGGAGGAGATTTCAAAGTATTTATAGCAGGACTACTAGATTCTGTAACAGTTTTGTTCCCTATGCTATCAGTCTTATAAACTCACATGATTCATTTTTCTCACCATGTACAGTACATGTATACAACTGAACTAGACTGTGTTGTTTCTCTGTGTCATAGAATATATGTGGATATGTGGGTAGATACATTTTTTTGTCATAGTTATCTAGTGTATATTGAAGGTGGTGACCCTTTGAGAGCTGTATGCAATGAAATTTTATTTTAATGTATGCCGATTAGTGTACATTTAAAGTGACAATAAAGTTATTCTATTCTGTTCTGTTCTGTTCTGTTCTATTCTATATTGTTAAATCACTTCTTCAGTAACTGAGAACAAATCTAATTGTTGGAAGGAACATTGGAAATGGCAGTCTTTATTTTTTCTGTCTAACATCCTTCCCTTTTTATTCATAAAAATAATGTAAACATAATTTAATTGCTTCGTTTGATTAGTTGGTGCCTGCTATTTAGTTCTGGCCTCAACACAATGATGAAGCATTTTGGGAAAAAGATACATCCCAATAACCCAGCACTGGAGGACAAGATGGAAAAGATCTCCACAGCCACCATGGCTTTTCCTTTGGTGCTCAGATAGGTTGGAACAAAGGAGATCCACACACTGCAGAAGGCCAACATACTAAAGGTTATGAACTTGGCTTCATTAAAACTGTCAGGTAAATTACGGGCAAGGAAAGCCACAATGAAGCTGGCAATAGCCAAGAAGCCCAGGTAGCCAAGGACACAATAAAACATGAAGATAGAACCTTCATTGCATTGCAAAATCATGGTTTCCAAAAGAAAGTGCATGTTTAACTCAGAGTATGGAGGAGTTGTTGCCAGCCACAGAATGCAAAGACCTGCTTGAAGAAAAGAACAAGAAAGGACAATGGAAAGAGCCAATCTTTTTCCCACCCATTTTCTTATTGAAGAACCTGGTTTAGTAGCCATGAAAGCTACAACTACAGTAATAGTTTTAGCTAACACACAAGAAACAGCAAGTGAGAAGATAATGCCAAATGCTGGTTGCCGGAGAAGGCAGGTTACTTTCCCTGGCTCACCAAGGAATAACAAGGAAGAGAGAAAGCAGAGCAGAAGTGCAATCAAGAGTGTGTAAGTGAGATCCCGATTGTTGGCCTTGACAATAGGGGTATCTCTACGCTTAAGGAAAATTCCAAGCACACTGGTTGTCATGAGGGAAAAGAAAACAGCAGCTGAAGCCAGACTCATTCCTAAAGGTTCTTCAAAGGATAGGAAACTTGTTGTTTTGTTAAGGCATTGATCTTGCTTCATGCTTGGATACTGATCTTCAGGACATTTGAAACAATCTTCTGTGTCTGGATTAAAAAAAAAATCAGATGGAAACTTATTGATGTCCTATTTATCACATTTTAATGAATGTTTTATGCTATTGTTTGAAGATTGATACTGAGTCTGTCATTAGTTGTTTGTATACCTATATTAACAAAATAACAGAGTTGGAAGGGAACTTGGAGGTCTTCTAGTCCAACACACTGCTCAAGCAGGAGAACCTATGCCATTTCAGATAAATGGCTGTCTAATCTCTTCTTACCTCTTCTGGAGGTAAGTTGTTCCACTAGTTAATTGTTCTCACTGTTAGAAAAATTCTCCTTAGTTCTTGGTTGCTTCTCTGCTTGACTAGTTTCCATCTATTGCTTCTTGTCCCTTAATCGATACTTGGTCAGATTCTTGTAGAGAACTTAAACTTGCAATAAATCTTTATACTCATTTGAACTGCCTGAATCCCCTGATTTCCCCAGCACTTGACATCAATAATCATTAGAAATTATAACTTTTAAGGAAACAATTTATTTGCAGTCCAATGTTCTCATAATTTGTAAGACTTCAAAACTGACCTATCTTGGTTGAAATCTTCCCCTGAGGACATAAAACACAATCATAGCAGCAGAAGGTTTTCTCTTCAGATTTTCTCTTCCAATATCCAGGCTGACAGTATTCATTACATAGAGAAACTGGAAGAACCTGATCATAAAATTTTTAAAAAATGGAGAAATAGTTGCCAGGTTGTTAAGCTTTTTCACCAGCTGAAAACAGAGTTAGTTAGTTAGTTAGTTAGTTAGTTAGTTAGTTAGTTAGTTAGTTAGTTAGTTAGTTAGTTAGTTAGTTAGTTAGTTAGTTAGTTAGTTAGTTAGTTAGTTAGTTAGTTAGTTATAAAGAAAATCATGACCAGCATGGAACAGTTGGAAGCATTTTAACATTTTCATTTAAGGAATCTGTAAAACTATAAGCATACAACATATATGTAGGTCCCTACCTGATTGAAACCTCTGTGCCATTCAATCTGATGTTCATTAATGATCAATTCATTTCCATAAGATGCATCGCAATCTAGCTTTCCCACTTTCACACTCCGGATGGACTTGTTTGGAAAAACGATCATGTTGTTTATGTCAAATCCTCCTGCAACTTCTCTTTTCTCATTAAAGGACACCTTCTCTCCTGCTGAGTTGTTAAAAGAAATGCCTTGAAGAAATGGGTGGAGCTACTTGAAAAGAAGAAAGCAATGAAGTTGAAAGAACAATAATGAAATAAATCAACTTTAGACATTCCCTGTTTTAACATTAGACATTCCACTTGGAATACTGCATCCAATTTTGCTTACCATGATATTAAAAAGAATAAGGGGGAAAATGTAAATAATAGAAGATTACCGTTATGAAATTGCTGTTAAAAAAGGGAGGAGTATACACTGTGTGTGTGTATGTGTGTTATGTTTTGTTTTGTTAGTTTAAAAAATAAAAAACTGGAAAAAAAAGACGTTGAGACACTGCAAAGAGTGCAGAGAAAAGCAACAAGGATGATTACGAGGCTAGAGGTAAAACCTATGAAGAACGATTTCAGAAAAAGGGTATGTCTACTCTAGTAAAAAGAAGGACTAGAGGAGAGATGATAGCAATGTTCCAATATTTAAGGGACTACCACAAGGATGAGGGAGTCAACCTATTTTCCAAAGCACCAGAAAGCAAGACAAGAAATAATGGATGGAAACTGATCAAGGAGAAAAGCAACCTGGAATTAAGGAGAAACTTCCTAACAGTGAGGACAATTAACCATTGAAACAGCTTGCCTTCCGAAATTGTAGGTGCTTCATCACTGAAAGTTTTTAAGAAAAAACTGGACAGCCATCTGTCTGGAATTGTATAGGGTCTCCTGCCTGAGCAGGGAGTTGGACTAGAAGACCTCTAAGGTTCCTTCCCACTGTATTCTGATTCATTGAAGTTTAATTATTCATTATTCTTTTCTAGCTAATTTTCATGGACCTACAGAAGAGATTAGACAGCTATTTGTCTGAAATGGTATAGGGTCTCTTGGTCAAGCAGGGGTTCATCTAGAGAACCTCCAAGGTCCCCTCAAACTCTGTTATTCTATGTTTCTGTGTTTTATTTCCAAAATTCTTTATGCAGTTTCACAGGATAAAGTGTGAATACAAAACAAAGAGTACATGTTGTAAAGAATTTTGACTTTGCTCAATAGAATTAGATGTCAACCCACAAAATATTGTCAGTGAATAACATACACAGAATTGTGTGATGCAATCTGCCTTGTGAAGAAAACTAAATGCAATCTAATTGGGGCAGAAAAGGTCATTTTAACTATAGTTATTTGAACAATAGATTGTGCCTGGAATCAAGGTTTAGCTCATTTTGTGAGCTTACTTATTTTGTACTAAATTCTTCATTGAAAGGAAAATATGTTTGTTGGAGAAACCTTACCTTAAAAGGCTGTAATTCTGGAGATTCAGCCACTTTATCTGCCAAGATTTTTCTGAGAATAGATCTCTTTGATAGCATGCTATGCAAAGAATGAGCCACAGCATAAACCCCATTATAGATACTGTAGCTGTGGCCAGACATCTGTAATTGAAACAGAGATTCAGGAAGGTTTCCCAGTCTTTCTTCACCAGTGCATTCTTGACTGCCCAAGGATGACAATCTTGAATTAGGAAAGAAACAGTCAAATGCTTGCTCCCAAAAATGGTTTCGAAATCCATCTCTTTGCCTTGAATAGGGTTTTATGGACCGAAGAAATTCCTCAAATTCCAGATTTTCAATTGAATGGATTTGGAAGGCAATGGCCCCATCATAAAACTGGAGATTCCATTCCCTTTGGGTTCCTGTTAGTGTGAAATCAATTTGGCTGGTGGTGACCCACACCTTGCTTAAAGATACATTTCCCCGATTTGCAGCATCCCATACAGATTTGAGAGCTGTCAGCCAGGCTAATGTCAAAGTTTCTCCATAGATGATGTATGTATTTGTTTTAACATCTGTGAAATGTGTATAAAAATGAAACATTATATCACTGAATTTACCTAAGTCATCCAAACGCAATAGTTTTGGAAATCTTTGTATGAAAGCTAAGCAAATTCCCTGCTGGAAAAACAAGGGCTCCAATTTCTGCAAAAAATGTTCTCCACTCTCAGTGTCTGAAGCAAAAAGCCCAATCCATTTCCATCCAAAACGTTGAAGCAATTGGACAATCCCGAAATATTGAGGAACTTCATTTGGAGCCATAAAGTAAAGTGAAGATGATTTATCAATTTTTCCCATAGGAAATGATCCATATGTGAGCTAAAAGAAAACACCAAGCCATGGAGTTAAGGAAAGGTTTTCATTTTGCTTATGCATGTTTATGGATCACTTCAAAAATTGAATGGACATATTATAATTTACTCTTTATCCAAATTTTTTTGATTTTTTTCCTGAAAATATAGAAACATTTTTGGAAAAAACAGTATTTCATCCAAACTAGCAGGAAACACAACAAAGGGTCAACCTGTTCTCCAAAGCACCAGAAGGCAGGACAAGAAGCAATGGATAGAAACTCATAAAGGAGAGAAGCAATCTAAAACTAAGGAGAAATTTTCTGACAGAACAATCAACCATTGGAATGGCTTGTGAACTTCCAGAAGTTTTGGTGTTCCATCTCTGGAGGCTTTTCAGAAGAAACTGGACAACCAATTGTCAGAAATGGTATAGGGACTCCTGTTTGAGCAGGGGTCCAAGGTCCCTTCTAACTCTATTATTCTGTTATTCATAAACCATGGACTCTAATTTTGATTTTGCATCACTTAAATCTTAGGTGAGATTTATGAGAATTAACAACAAAGGATGCTCTTGGGTATCCTTAATCAACTGATTAATCTTTTAATCAATTAAGAAGAACAGGGTAAATCCCCTCAACTGTGAACCCACCTGTGGAATTTTGTAAAAATCTATCATTTCTACTATATGGGATGAAGTATCTGACCCAAGTCCTCCAATGATGGCCATGAGTTTTTTCCTGGTGCCACATTCATAGTTGGGGACAAATGTATGTGATTTGAAGACCACGTCCAGGGTTGTCCGATAAGTCAGCTTTGGATTATTGTAGCTGTCATACATGTGGAACCCAAAAGTAACATTAGGTAGGATATGTGGATTCTCATTGATCTCCTTCACAGCAAAGGCCAAGGAAAGGACATGCTGGTAGAATTTTGTAATGAGACTGCAAACAGAGAGGAAAAAAACCAGAAAACAATTATACAAAGCATAGAATAGTATTGAAAAAAATAGTTGTTTCTGTCTGAGATTGGAATTAGATTTTTAAAATATAGTGCTGATGTTTCTAATCTATTAAACACTTTTGGCTACAGTCAATATAGTATTTAGAAAGGATCATTTTATTACCCATTTCATTCACAGAATGTTGCTCCTTTCAATGGCAAGAACTGAACTGTTTGTCTGTAGATATATTCTAAATGTATTCCACTTTTTTCCTTACTACTCCTTTATGAAGAACGGTCAAAGGAATTGGGAATGGCCAGTATAGAGAAAAAAACTAGGGGAGACATAATAGCAGTAATATAATATTTGAGGGGCTGCCACAAAGAGGGGGTCAACTTATTTTCCAAAGCACCAGAAAGTGAGAAAAGAAACAATGGATGGAAACTAATCACGGACAGAAGCAACCTGGAATTAAAGAGAAACTTCGTAACAGTGAGAACAATTAACCATTGGAACAGCTTGCCTTCAGAAATTGTAGGTGCTTCATCACTGGAGGTTTTTAAGAAAAAACTGGGCAGCCACCTGTCTGAAATGGTATAGAGTTTCTTGCTTGAGCAGGGAGTTGGACTAGAGAACCTCCAAGGTCCCTTCCAGCTCTATTCTGATTCATTGAAGGTTAACTATTCATTTTTCTTTTCTAGCTAATTTCCATGGACCTACAGAAGAATATAGGAAAAATGGAACAAACTGTTCCCTATTGCTTTGATTACTATAGGATAGTGCCATAAGGGGTAGGGGTGGTGGTGATGATACTGTGGGGAAAAAAGCTAGTACATCAGCTAATACCAAAAAAAGCTAATACATTGCAGACGACACTAAGCTGGCAGGAATAGCCAACACTCCAGAAGACAGGCTTAAGATACAGGAGGATCTGGACAGACTTGAACACTGGGCGCTATCTAACAAAATGAAATTCAATGGTGAAAAAAGCAAGGTTCTACATTTAGGCAAGAAAAACCAAATGCACAGATATAGTATAGGGGGTACCTTGCTCAATAGCAGTAACTGTGAGAGGGACCTCGGAGTCCTAGTGGACAATCACCTAAATATGAGCCAGCAGTGTGCTGCAGCTGCCAAAAAGGCCAACACAGTGTTAGGCTGCATTAACCGAGGGATAGAATCAAGATCACGTGAAGTGTTAATACCAATTTACAATGCCTTGGTAAGGCCACACTTGGAATACTGCATCCAGTTTTGGTCACCGCGATGTAAAAAAGATGTTGAGACTCTAGAAAGAGTACAGAGAAGAGCAACAAAGATGATTAGGGGACTGGAGGCTAAAGCATATAAGGAAAGGCTGCTGGAATTGGGTATGTCTAGTTTATTGAAGAGAAGGACGAGGGGGGACATGATAGCAGTGTTCCAATATCTCAGGGGCTGCCCCAAAGAAGAGGGAGTCAGGCTATTCTCCAAAGCGCCTGAAGGCAGGACAAGGAGCAACGGGTGGAAGCTAACCAAAGAGAGAAGCAACCTAGAACTAAGGAGAAACTTCCTGACAGTTAGAACAATTAACCAATGGAACAATCTGCCTCCAGAAGCGGTGAATGCTCCAACACTGGAAGTTTTTAAGAAGAGACTGGACAGCCATTTGTCCAAAATGGTATAGGGTTTCCTGCCTGAGCAGGGGGTTGCACTAGATGACCTCCAAGGTCCCTTCCAACTTTACTACTACTACTACTACTACTACTACTACTACTATTATTATTATTATTATTATTATTATTATTATTATTATTATTACTATTACTATTACTATTATTATTACTACTATTATCTGTTAATTAAGACACCTGGCAGCAAAGCAAAGACTAGGAGGAAGGAGCAAATCTGAAAAGGAAAAGGCAGAGGCTGATGCCGGTAGACAAGTCCATTCAGAAGCACTCAACAGATTGACCTTCCCTGCACAGATAAAAAAAGGCAAGACCCTGGAGAATAATCAGGTCCTACAGTAACAATAGTCTAGACTCAAATCATCCTGGCCTCAATGCCCACCCACTGCAGTCCAGACTGGAATTTCAGAAATTGACTTAAGAAAGAACTAGAAACTGCAAAAGAGACCAACAGCTTAGGACATAGTGCGGAATTCCTCAGAATCTTTGAGAAACTAATTCTGCAGTGAGTGACTTAGTTGAGAAGGAAGAATCCTCATTTTTGCCAGTGTCTTTTTTTTTCATTACTTCAAACACTGTCTTATAATTTGAGATAAACATTTCCAATTTCAGATAGGTATTTCTAAATTTCTTCAGCTACAATATTTTCAGTTATATAGACTAGAGCACTATAGATAATTTTTTTAATTCTGTCTTTCAAATAAACTTTGTTTAAAGTTGGATGTTGGTATGCTCTTCTTTCCCCCAAAATAACAAATCAATAAATTCTATTCTTGCTTTACTTAATAGACTAACAATATCTTTTTAAATATTTTTTTTTCCATTTTATTAAATCCCTGTGTCTTAGAGATTTCTAATCTAACAATTCATGTTCAGCCTCTCATGTCATCTTCCTAAAAACAAAATGAAGTATTTTATTGAGAGCACAAAGTCTTATTTAGCTTACAGCTAAATAAGTTTTCAGATTCTCTGAAAACTCAACAGGTTACATGACAGATCAAGTTTTCATCTGCTTTCTTTGAGCAACGTTTAACTCAAAAGAATAGGTGTCAACATATAGAAAATCTGTAAAGAAACAAGGGATCATTAGGTGAAGAAGAGTGTAGTATTTGCTTACTCTGAAAGTCCGTATAGATTCTGAGATGGATGTTCATAAAAGGTATGTTCACTGGAGGCATAGAGATGCTGTGAAGCCATCCCTCCAATGAGGAGATCACCTGGTTGGTACCATTCATGTAGAATAGGAATAGGATCAACCTCCAGGCACTTGAATGCATTCGCTTTGATCACTGGGAGCATCAGAATGAATAACACATCAGCAGCCAAAAAATCTTCTAAAATAGGTCTCCAACATATCAACCCACACCAATGGATCTGACTTAGCATACCAGATTTCTCAACACACCTCCTAAGAAAAAAACATCAATCTAAACCTGTAACTTTAATGGAGATACAGACATGTGCTTGAGTAATGACTGAGATTTCTACAACTCAGATCTAAAATTGGTCTGATCAAAGAAAGATCAGATGCTGGAAGAAATGAACCCAATAGCCCTGTTTGACACTTCCCACCACCCCAAGTTCTCCATGGAACTGGGATTAGTTTATAACCTCTTTCAACCTTGCTTTGTATTTTTCACCGCTTTCTGGAAAATCTCTGGAGCTTTGAACAAATAAACACATTATAGTAATTTGAACCAATTCCAGGAAGAGTTATCTATTAAATGTTTTTTCCATAACTGGCCGTAACAAATGAAAAACAAAAAGAACTTATAATTCTTAATTGTCAATTTGAGACATGTCAAACACAAGGCCCGGGGGCCGGATGCGGGCTGCAAAGTGGTTTCATGTGGCCTGCGAAGCCATTGTGGAAACAGTGAAGGAATGGCCCCCACTGCCTTGGCCCTGGCCCAGGCCGGCCAGGAGCCAATGTACAATTTTGTGGTGGCCATCTATGCTGAAACACATTCAGTCTTAGCTCCACAAGGCCGTCTGGAAACAGCGAGGAACCAGCCCCTGCCGCATCGGCCCCACCCCCTGGGTGCATACTGTGGAGGTGTCACCCTTTGTGAGGAATGAGAAAATGCAACATCGCCTAGAAATGGCCAGCAAATGGCCCTCGCCTTTTTTGATGAACTGAATACAACAATACTGAAATTTATCTGGCAAGGAAAAAAAGCTAGAATTAGACTGAAAATACTACAAGAACCAAAAGAAAGTGGAGGATTTGGACTGCCGGACTAGATGTTATACTACCAAGCAACTATTTTAACATGGCTTAAAGAATGGATAATGCTTAGAGACAGAAGACAATTATACCTAGAGGGGCATGACCTACAAATTGGTTGGCATGCCTTTATGTGGTATGGGAAGAATAAAACACATAGATACTTTCTAAACCACTTTATAAGAAATCCACTTCTTTCAGAATGGGAAAAAATAAAAGCAAATTTTTTTATTAAGATACCTGGACGGCTTTCAACAATGGAAGCCTTTGCTTACCCAAATTTAATTAATTACGATAAAGTTGTGACTTATAAAGATATTTTGGACAATGAAGGAAAATTGAAAGACAGACAAGATTTACAAGAACAACGTATTGATCTATCATGGTGGCCATATTGGCAAATTCAAACGAGATATGAAAAAGATGTTAAAACAATGGGATTCTATAAGGAACAGACAAAATTTGATCAGATACTGTTAAAAACAGATGAAAAGTTGATTAAGAAATTCTATAAATTTCTGTTAACCTTAAAGATGGAGGAAGAACAAGTTAAAGAAAAGATGATAACATGGGCAAAGAACTTTGGATATAATATAGAATTAGAAGACTGGCAAAAGTTATGGGAAAGAAATGTTAAATTAACTAAAGCAGTGGCATATAAAGAAAACTTATATAAAATGTTTTACAGATGGCATATGACACCAGTGAGATTAGCAAAAATGTTTAAAAATACTTCAGACAAGTGTTGGAAATGCAAACAAAGACCAGGCACTTACTATCATATCTGGTGGACATGCCCAAAAGCAAAAAGATTTTGGATAAAAGTACATTTATGGTTGGAGAAAATGACTAAAAACAAATAGACTTTAAGCCAGAATTATTTTTGTTAGGAATAATAGGAGCAAATTATGAGAAAGATTGTATATATTTAATTCTACACATACTAACTGCAGCAAGAATTGTATTTGCCCAAGATTGGAAAAATGAAAATTTACCAACGGAAGAAGTATTAATTAAGAAAATTTTAGAGTGTGCAGAAATGGACAGATTGACTTTAAAGATAAAAGAGAAAGAAGACTCAGTGTATTTTAGAACATGGGATAATTTCTATCAATGGCTAGAAACATGAGTTAGAGATAAAGGAATGTGATATGTAATTTTGAATATATATTAGTAAGAAGAAGACTATTGAGCGATTAATTAACATATTGTTTACGATAATTAACTGTTATCTTTATGTCTTGTTAAATACATGAGCCCAGACATTATGCTATTTGCTAAATATTGAGAATGTTATTTGGAAAAACCCTAACCCCAACCCTAATCCTAACCCTAACCCAAATACCAATACCAATACCAATCCTACCTCATTCCTAACCCTATAAAAACTAATAAAATTTATACAAAAAAAAACCTTTTCTCATAGGAAAATGCATGTAAAAATGGATTCTGAATGGAAGTTAGTAATGTAAATACTGTCATAGGCTGTCTTTCTTCTTTGAAAGAGAAAGACCTTTAAGGTTTGGTTGCACAACTGGTTCAGAAGGCCTTGGTTGAAGGAGATTATCTGGATTCTTTTCACTCAGAATTCAGGCCCAAGTATGGGACAGAAATGGTATTGGCTGTACTATCTCTGACCTGTGTCAAATGTGGGTTGTATATCCATATTGCCCTATTTGACCTCTTAGTGTCTGGATACCATTGATCATGGTGTAATTCATCTCAGAGGATTGAGGGTGAGTAGCATGGTATTGTGCTGTTTTTCCTCCTTTCTTCAGGGCCGAGTTATAGTTGGTGGTGACAGGGGAGAAGAGATCCTGCAGTTGGTCCTTACTACACAGAGTGTCTTATGTTTTGATGCTCTCCCTTTTCTTATTCAGCCTCTACATGAGGCCCATGGATGAGCTCAACTTTTACCATGGAGTGGAGGTAACATCATTGCCACTGGCAAATTAAGTGATCCCATGTACATCTTAGCCCAGTGCCTAGAGACTGTGGGGGTCTGGTTGGGGGACAACTGGATTCGGCTCAACTGTGGCAAGACTGAGTGGTGTTGCATTTTAAGAACTATTGGTTCAAGGACTATAAAATTGTGGTGTTAGACTGGTGGCACTGCCTCTGACAGACCTGGTGTGCAATCTGGGGGTCCTGCTCAGAGAACAGATGGTAACCATGGCTAGGAGAGTCTTTGCACAGTTTTGTGTGGTATGCCAGTTGCATCCTTTCCTAAAGCAGCAGGCTGTGCTCATAGACACTCAGGCCCTAATTAATTCCAGATGGACTGTTGTAATGCACTGTACCTGGGTTTGCCCTTGAAAAATATACATGTTATATCTGTGCCCCACAAGCTGTGTTGGCTATTAGTTTGCTTTCCAAGTCCAATTCAATTCCAGGTCCAAGTCCAGGTCCAAGTGTTTTTGACCTTTGAATCCCTATATGACACAGAGTCCCATTATCTAAAGGATCAACTCTCCCCAATGATTTCAACAAGTCCATTAGTTCTAGCAAAGAAGGCATGTTATGAATACCATCTGCCAAGGACCTGCATTTTGTGGGCCCAAGAAGGCAGGTCTTCTCTGATATGGTACCTGCCCTATGGAACATTCTCCTCCCTGAAGACAGGTTGACTCCATCCCTCAAAACCTGGCTATGTCATGAACACTGAGGAGTCCCAAGGAACCAGATATGTTTTTAGAAGTCTCCACTATAGTTAATATTTTACCCTCCCCATGTGTCTTATATATTTAAATGCATTAGTGGGTTTTTTAATTTTTAATGATGACTTTATATTTTCGGAATGATTATTTTTATATAGTTATTGTTTTTTTGTTGTTTGCTGAATGCCATTCAGAATCTCTTTTTGTTTCATGGCCAGCCATATCATTGTGAAAAAGCAATCAATCAAACAAACAACATTTTCATTTATTAATTAATGCAAAGTTTAAATCCTGGCTTTTACCCAACTTTTCTATTAATTGGTTAGTTTTTCCTCCCTTCTTTCTTACTTTCCCAAGGTAGAAAATCATCCAAGTTTTAATAGTCAAAGGGTGGCTTTGAGATGAATTGAAGCACACCTCTGAACTTTTCCACTTGTTATGCCACATGCAGAGAAAATAAATTAGGACATATTAAATTCAGTATCCTTAAAAAAGCATATGTCCAAAAGTGGAAGAGAAAATTCTGAAGTCATAATTATCTCCCCACTAGAATTATTCCAAAGATAATAATTTGTTCTGTTCATAAAATCTGTAAACACTTGAATAAGACTTTAGAGAAATGAAAAAAAAAATGTGTAAAGAAAGATCTGTCCCATGGAGACTGGGGAGTACAAGAAAATGATACACAAGTCCTGTGATGACAACTGCCCCAAATTAAGTTGCATTGATAGAGTTCCTCAATGCCATTCAGATCTTACAGTATATGCAATAAGAATTAGGGCTAAAAGTTAGGCTTCAGCCTTGCTCTTAACAGGAATTTTGAGGCTGGTGAATGCAGACTAATATTGGAAGCTGCTGGTAGTGGAACTTCTATATTTGAAGAGCATTTGCTGTCCAAATGTTATTTCTTCTCCTATTTCCACTCTTCAGAGTGAAGTCACTGCCGTGTCATCCAGGTGAACCCATACCTGTTCCAAATGAATGGTACCAGAAAGGGGATCTTGTCATTGGTGGGATGGTATCTATGGCTAACTACCATTTTAATGAACTTTCATTTCAGCAGCATCCCTCTCAGGAATATTTTGGCAATCCAGAGTAAGCAATTCTTATCTTTCACATTTGTGGCATCTCTAGGTAGAGTAATTATAATAAATGAGGGGGGGGAGAGTACATTTTCTTCCCTAATGTGAACCCTTTCTGGTGAAAGATACTGCTTTATAGAATATGGAATGCCATAAAGCTATTTTTGTTTATGATGCAGCAAAATTCTATATTTTGAAATTCTAAAATTTGAAAATGTGAAACACTAGATCAGGAAGCCTTCTCTATGTCAAAAGGAGAACACTTAGGCAAAAATGCATATTTAAGTGTGTATACACCTACAAGAAATGTGGAAGTTTCTACCTTGTAATATCTATGAATACTTTCAGTCATCCAGGTCATGGTTGTCTGAAAGGTGATTTTTCAAGAGGCAACTGGACTTTCTTTCTTTTTTCTTTAACAACATTTTGCTTCTCATCCAAGAAGCTTCTGTAGCTCTGACTGGATAGTGGGGAATGGAAGGATTTATACTCCTTGCAGACATATGGTCATTTACATTCTTTTAGAGAGTCGTTAAGGCCACTTGGACGTTTATTTGTGTCCTCAGGGTCACCTGAGTGCTGCAAATGGATGTGGAGCCTTCTTGGAACTGCTGAAAGGGCTGTGTTGTAGACTGGAGATAGATGATGTCATATCCCTCCCCCTCTGTTGAGAGAAGGTTATTCAATATTGACATAAATGGCTTCTTTAACCCCTCTTTCAAACTTTGACCCCTCTTTGATCATATAAATTATCCTATTTTCAGAGTGCTAACAAAATTCTACCAGCATGTCCTTTCCTTGGCTTTTGCTGTGAAGGAGATCAATGAGAATCCAAAAATCTTGTACAATATAACTCTTGGCTTCCATATCCATGATAGCTACTACAATGCAATGATGACATATCGGACCACCATGGACCTGCTCTTCAGATCAGAGAGATTTGTCCCCAACTATAAATGTGACATCAGGAAAAATCTAATTTCGATCATTGGAGGCCTCAGTTTTGAAACTTCTTCCTATATTGCCGACTTTTTACAGTTTTACAAGATTCCACAGGTAGGATCTTTGGGAAGAGAGATCTCCTTTCTTTCTCCTTCTTTCTTTTTCTCAACCAAGACTATCAAAAATTGATTGTCTCTGAATGATGCCCACATAGCTCAACAATCTGACCAAAACTGTTGACCAATATTAGTTTCACAAATAGCAAAAGAGAAATAGATGCTGATACTGATACTATAATATGTGTTTATTTTCTTTTAGCTTACATATGGGTCATTTACCCCCCAGGATATTTATAGTGCTGAGATTCCCTTCTATTACTCCATGGTCCCAAATGAGTCCACACAATATATTGGGATTATCCTACTGCTTCAACATTTTGGGTGGATATGGGTTGGGCTTCTTGCTATTGATAATAGGCATGGAGATTATTTTCTGCAGACCATGGAGTCCCTCTTTTCCCAGCATGGAATCTGCTCTGCTTGTACACAAAGAATTCCTTTTTTAACTTACTGGGATAAATTATTTGAGATGCTTGAGAAAGGGAAAACTATTTATGACCAAATAACTACTAAAAAGATCAGTACCTTTATCATCTGTGGAGAATCTTTGTCAATTATATGGGTGACAAGTATCATTTTTTGGATTGATCCTGGACTTGGGCAGAGTTCTTTGGGAAAAGTGTGGATCATGACTGCCCAGATGGATTACATATTAACAGGAATGCAAAGAAAATGGGATCGGCAGTTCTTTGATGGTGCCATCTTTTTTACCATTCACTCCAAAGAAATTCCTGGTTTCAAGGAATTCCTGAAGTTTATAAAACCTCCTTGGATTCAACAAGATGGCTTTTTCCCACTTTTCTGGGAACAAGTATTTGATTGTTCATTGCCATCTCCTCCTGTGACTCTTCTGGATGATGACACTTGTACTGGAGAGGAAAAGCTGGAGGACATTCCTGGGGCTCTTTTTGAGGCACAGTTGACTGGGCACAGCTATAGTATCTATAATGCTATCTATGTATTGGCTCAAGGTTTACATGCGCTCTTCTTACTTCAATATAACCGTAGGCATTTGGTGAAGCATAAATTATCAGAATATGAAGGTGTGCAACAATGGCAGGTGATTTTTGTGCTACAAGTACTTTCTACTAGATAAAGGTAAAGTACAAAGTTAGACTAAGTGATTCCAACAAGGAAGAAGCAGTTATTAAAATGGACATCTGTCGTTCAGTAATATTTAGGTGTATGTTTTTATTTCCATCACTTTGATATAACTTCCATTTCATTCCTGAACATCTTCAGGATGCAAAGATGGTTTAAATGAATTAATATTCATGGCTTGGTTTTTGAACCCCTGTAGCATTTTAGGCATATCACCTATTATTGAGGATAATAGAGGAATCCTATTTAACAAGCCAGCTATTCATCAGTTTTAGCAAATCTTATTATGTCCATAGCAGCCTTATATCTCTAAGAATAACTTGAATAAAAGATGGGAGCAACTTATTTTTCCAGTTTTTCATACACTTCTTCCTATGCAATATGAAGAATTGGGATCAGGAAGATGTGGGAGGTTAGAATCCATTTTATCTCTCATTTAACAATTGTTCAAAATATCTGATCTTTCTTATTACTTGCATATGTAGAGGGTAGTAAACAGGTTCTCAATGGGCTTTCCATGTTTTCAGAGTGTCTCCCTGAAGGACACTCTGAAACTAGGACTAAATTACTCATACCTTTCTATTCTTTATTTTTCTATTTTTTTTAAAAAAAAAAATCCCAATATAGCTCCACCAATTTCTTAAAGGCATCAAATTCAATAATTCACTTGGAGAGGCCGTGGTTTTTTATGATCAAAAGAAGATGGAAGGTATATTTGATATCATCAACATAGTCACCTTTCCCAATTCCACTTTCCAGAGACGAAAGGTTGGAAAAGTGGATCCAGATGCTCTGAGTGGAAAAGAATTAGTCATTAATGAAGATATGATTGTTTGGCATAGATCATTTAACCAGGTATTTTTTCATGGAAAGTTTGTATGACCATTCTCAGATGAGTACATTAGGTTGGGATATTTACTTTTATCCTTCTGGGCAACTTATGAAGATTAACAGGGTTAAGAAACGACATAACAATATAACAGAGTTGGAAGGGACCTTGGAAGTCTTCTAGTCCAATCCACTGCTCTAGCAGAGACTTTATACCATTTCAAAAAAATGGTTCTCCAATCTCTTCTTAAAAATCTCCAGTGATGGAGCACCCATAACTTCTGAAAATAAGCTTTTACACTGATTCATTGCTCAAACTGTCCGTAACTTTTTCCTTATTTGTAGGTTGGTTCTCTCCTTTTCTATTTTTTTTTTAATTTTAATCACGAAATTAAAATACAGACTTCAAAAAATAAATTGTACAAAACCAGAAAAATTGGATAAAACATTAAAAATGTGCTTTGAAAAAAATAAAACATATATGTGTTTAAGGTTCTCTCCTTGATTAGTTTCCATCCAGTGCTTCTTGTTCTGCCTTCAGATGCTTTGGACTTTACTTGTTAAAAGCTAACAATACTTTACTTATTAAAAGCTAACAATAACTGATATTATGCACTATATTTATTAGACTTCCATCATATGTTGAAACTAGCTGTACCTGGCCACGCGTTGCTGTGGCTCAGACAGGTTAAATGTTTTTACCTGTCACAGGTGTGACATCTATATAATAGTAGGTATATAAAAACACGTGCGTATTCGAATGCAATGTTGTGTCAAAATTTCAAAGCAATCGGTGAAGAACATTCGGAGATTTAAGATTTTGAACAAATGAACATTTACATTTTTATTTATATATACTGTATATAAGATATAAGATAAGATGAACATGAAGATGAACAAATAAAACATTCATTTAAGTGACTAGATTCCATTAGTTGGAGTGAAGCTTCATCAAATGTGTGATTTCAAGTAAATTTAATTGACTCAATCCTTCTGATCAAATGGATGATTTGAATTAATAATATATCACATGTTGAAGCATATTGAAAAAACAAAACTGGACATCCAGATAATCTGTGCTCACAAATTCAAATTGGTGGGCAATTTGTGTTGGAAATACATTCTCAAATTCAATTTATTTCTTGAGCCTTTTGTACAATTAGTCCTTGACTTATAACCACAACAGAGCCCAAAATTTATGTTGCTAAGCGAGACATTTGCCCCATTTTACAACCTTTCTTGCCACAGTAATTGTTAAGTGAATCTTGCTTCCCCTTTGACTTTGCTTGTCAGAACGTCGAAAAATGGGATCACATGGCCCCAGGACACTGTAACCATCAATAATAATAATAATAATAATAATAATAATAATAATAATAATAATAATAATAATAATAATAATAATAATAATAATAATAATAATAATAATAAAGTTGGAAGGGACCTTGCAGGTCATCGAGTCCAACCCCCTGCTCAGGCAGGAACCCTACACCATTTCGGACAAATGGCTGTCCAGTCTCTTCTTAAAAACTTCCAGTGTTGGAGCCTTCACAACTTCTGGAGGCAGGTTGTTGCATTGGTTAATTGTTCTAACTGTCAGGAAGTTTCTCCTTAGTTCTAAGTTGCTTCTCTCCTTGATCAGTTTCCATCCGTTGCTTCTCGTCCTATATATGTGCCAGTTGTCAAGTGACTGAATTTTGACCAAGTGACCATGGGGATGCTGCAAAAACAAACTCTTGTAAGTTGAGGACTACAGGTACAGCCTTAAACGGGGCTTTTCTTTTCAAGAGAGCATTTCATTTTCAGTGTAAGAAATTATTTTTCCAGGATCCAATCTGGGTCAGTCACCAGGAGCAGAGATTTTGTCTTCTGAGCTTTTAGACTTATGATGGAGCCCATCTCTCTAGGGTAGAGAGAAGTTCCCAGAAGAGCAGGGATTGGACTAGATGACCTCCAAGGTCCCTTCTAACTTCATTATTATTATTATTATTATTATTATTATTATTATTATTATTATTATTATTATTATTATTATTATTATTATTATTATTATTATTATTATTATTATTCTGAAAGCTCAGAAGATAAAACTTTTGGTCCTGGTGACCGACCCAGATTGGATCCTGGAACATTGTTCTGGGACACATATATTCACTTTCTTTTGTGAAGTTATTTTTCTTCAGAACAATAAATGTTCTGCCAATATTTTAATATTGATAACTAGGTGCTTCCCTTTTCTCTGTGCAATGAGTATTGTCACCCTGGTTATCAAAAGAGGAAGAATGAAGGAAAGAAATTCTGCTGTTATGATTGTGTTCCATGTCCAGAGGGGAAAATTTCCAAAGAGATGGGTAAGTTAACAAAATCCTCTGATTTTGTTGCTGTACAGTTGGTTGTGCTAAACACTAATTAAATTTTCCAGTTGTATATTCATGAGATTTTATTCAGAAATTAAATGGAGAAATGGAATTAAATTCATAAGATTAAAAATGATAGATTCTAACCATGGAATTTTCAAGTGATGATGATGATGACGTAACAACGATGACAACAATGTTTTAATTAATTAAATAAAATGTCCAGGAATGGTTTAGGCTTTATAATCAAACAAGCATCTTAATAGTGATTTGAAAAATGATTACAATGAAGATGTCTATGGAGATTCCCAGTCATCCAGGTCATGGTTGTCCCAAAGGTACTTTTTCAGGAGACAACTGGACTTCCTTGTTTTTCTTTGAAGTCGTTTCGCTTCTCATCCAAGAAGCTTCTTCAGTTCTGACTGAATAGTGGAGAATGGAAAGATTTATATTCCTTTGCAGACAGATAGTCATTTGCATTCTTATAGAGAGTCATTGAAGCCATTTGGAGGTTTACCTGTGTCCTCAGTAGTGTAAATGTATGTGGAACCTTCTTAGCTGCAGGATGTTTTTTGCCCTATATCAGTGATGGCGAACCTTTTAGAGACCGAGTGCCCAAACTGCAACCCAAAACCCACTTATGCATCGTCGGGTGCCAAGTGAGTGTGGCCCATTGGGTGGGCGTGGCTGCAGTGGTAAGGGCAGACTGGGTGGGACTAAAAAGTTCAATCAATCAATTCCAACTTTGCAAGATTTTTTTTTCACCATGAGAAGTTGAAATTGACTGATTGGTTGAACCTTTTCTTTTTTTTTGCACACGGCGGAGGCCTAAAGTGAAAAGGTTTTATAAAACCCAGCTGAAGGCCTAGGACTGGGGCGACGGCACACGTGCCCACAGAGAGGGCTCTGAGTGCCGCCTCTGGCACCCGTGCCATAAGTTCGCCACCACTGCCCTATATGCTCTCTTCAATTGCAATGAAGAGAACATACAGGGAGCAAAAAAATGTGATTATTTCAGACCTGCTTTTTAAAAAATACAGACAAAATATAAGAAACACAGTAATTATAAAATTACAATATCTACATACTGTGTATTATGTAGCCATGCTGGCCCAATACTTAGAATGCAGTATTGCAGGCTGACTCTGCTCACTTCCAGGAATTTGATCCTAACCAGCTCAAGGCTGACTCAGCCTTCCATCCTTCCAAGGTCAGTAAAATGAGCACCTAGATTGTTGAGGGCAAAATGCTGACTCTGTAACCTGCTTAGAGAGGGCTGTAAAGCACTGTGAAGCAGTATATAAGTCTAAGTGCTATTGCTATTCTAATGACTGAAATGGTAGGCAGGCAAGCAGGCAGGAAGGAAGAAGAAGGAAGGTGGGATTCAGAACTGATGTCTATTGTTTTTGATGAAAATGATTCCTATTGATGAGAAATCCAGGAACATACAATGTGCCGAACCAAATAAGAACACTCTCAAAATACCAAAATGAAATAACTTTATAGACATAAATAATTACTTCTTGGAACACTGGACAAATTAATGAAGCATTTATTGTAGCAATAATGCAGATTATAGAGTTTAGGAAGAAGAAAAATAAATTATTCCTTATTTTAAATCAACTATTATTATTTCCACTCATATAAAAACACAAGAAAGGAAGTTTTAAAAGACCAAAGAAAGTAAAAATAGAAATATTAAAAGAAAAGGAGACACATACTTCTCTTGCAGCATCAGAAAATTATGTTTCGTATACAGTTTTCACTTGAAACATGTCTATTGATATTTTTGGAATTTCTCCCTTGATATATTATCTTTCATCTTCACTTGAAATTTGGTGAAAACATGCATTTACATACCATATTTTGAACTGTGATCTTGAAGTCAATATGGTTTTAAATGTAAAAATAATCATTTCAGGTGTTCATGAACTTTCATAGGAACAGTCCTTTACCATAAGAAAACAAATAAAGTTAAACATGGTGGAGATTTTCCTGGGGTTTGCTATACTTTTCCATGCTTTTAAAGTAATACTTGACTTAATTCCAACAACACACAAAGCATACATAGGGAGATGTTCAAATATATTTTCCTACTGCAGTTTATATATCTTGTACCAAAGATATAAATATCAGGGTATGGATAAAAATGAAAATGAACAATTATAATTCTTATGAATCTGTGCTGACATAATTTTTTTCCCTTTCAGACACTGTTGCTTGCTTTCAATGTCCTGATGATCAATATGCAAACCATAAGAAAGATGGATGCATCATGAAAACAATTAGCTTCTTGTCTTATGAAGAACCTTTAGGACTCAGTTTAGCTACTGTTGCTATTTTATTTTTCCTCACTACAACATGGGTGTTGGGAATATTTATTAAGCACAAAGACAGTCATATTGTCAAAGCCAACAACCGGGAGCTCACCTACATTCTCCTCATCTCCCTTCTGCTTTGCTTCTTCTGTTCTTTGCTCTTTATTGGACAGCCTAGGAGAGTCATCTGTCTCCTCAGACAGTCTGCATTTGGTTTCACCTTCTCATTGTCCATTTCTTGCGTGTTGGCAAAAACCATTCTTGTTTCTCTTGCTTTCAAGGCCACCAAGCCAGGATCTTGGATAAGGACATGGGTGGGGAAAAGATTGGCTATTTCTATTGTCCTTTTCTGCTCTCTATTCCAAACAAGCATCTGTATTGTGTGGTTGTCAACCTCTCCCCCATTCCCAGAATTAGACATGCACTCAGTCCCTGAAGAAATGGTTTTACAATGCAATGAAGGGTCTTTCTTTATGTTTTATTGTGTCCTGAGCTATATGGCTCTCCTTTCATTTGCCAGCTTCCTTGTGGCTTTCCAGGCTCGTAATCTGCCTGACAGTTTCAATGAAGCCAAGTTCATCACCTTCAGCATGTTGGCTTTCTGCAGTGTATGGGTGTCCTTTGTTCCAACGTACCTGAGCACCAGAGGTAAAGCCATGGTGGCTGTGGAGATCTTCTCCATTTTGTCCTCCAGTGCTGGGCTCCTAAGTTGCATCTTTTTCCCCAAGTGTTACATTATTGTTTTGAGGCCGGATTTAAACAACAGGGAACAACTGATAAGAAGACATGTTTAATATATTTTTATTTTTATTTTCTTTTTTCTGTTTATCATTATGATTTACTTGTAGCTCTGAAATCTGGGTTTTTGGGAACTTCTATCAAAGTTAGGTTTTTTTCCCCCAAGAACATCCAAGAAAGTCTCACAGAAATTAATGAGGAAGACCAATGCTTCTTTAGGTAAACCAGGAATTTTTTTTATATGTGTCCCCATAAGCTTTGAGATGACAGATTACATTTAATGAACTACTATGTGTAAATATAAATACAAATATAACATTTGAAAATTGAAAGTGAACTCCTATTCTCCATGAGACAGTTTTCTTTTTAAAAGTTATAAATAAATAACAAATAAAATAAATCAGAATCAAAATCTAGTGGTGTCAACTTTATTGTCCAATACATTGTGTAAGGTAAATTAATATATTTTCTATAACCAAGAAAGATGGATAAGAATATCATTTTCCTTTTCTTGTTCTGAATTTTTCTTATTTTATTGATTATGTTGTAATTAGTTATTAAAAGCCAGTTATTATAACACCAGTTATTATAAGCTAATTTTAAAAATAAATCAGATCAAAAATATTTATCATCATCTGAATAATTACTGAAAGGATGTTACCACATCTAAATATGCAATTTGAGCTTTGAGTCCAGATGAAATATGAAATTAAGTCAAAAGGTGGGTCTATTAAGAAATCTCTCTTTACTTCATGAGTGATTTCCATTTAGTTCCTCCCCTTCATGTCCACAGGACTGCATCCTCTCCATCACTTTCATTCATTTCTTGTTTCAGTAGCCTCTATTAATATACAATTGAATCATAATTCACCAAATCCAATGGTCCTCTATTTTATATGCAAACTGAGTTGAAACCTTTACATGGATTTATTCCAGATAAAATATACATATCAGGAATCGTTGACCCCATAACATAAAAGAAGATGGTGTCCATTTAATTTCATATAGAATCACACCACGTGATATGAGACTATTCGATAATATAGCAATTTGTACCCTAAAATAGTTAAAAGGTTGTTTTATCATTACTTCTTATATTCCACCATGCCAGAATTTTTAGTTCATTCAAATTCTATTCCATTCGAATGATTTGTTTCTAATGCATTCATCCTGGTTGGTGATTTTTAAAGCAATCTAAATTTTGAATCCAAAGAAGTAATACACTCCCCAAATTCACACTTTTAATTGGTAACCAAATTAAGGAGAAAACCTATTGAATTTTCTCTCCAAGCTTTGGTGGGGATCTAAAAAGACAAAGTCTTTTGCAGGGGAAGATGTCTTTTGTTAATTAAATACTGACAGGTCCAAGCAATAGATGAAGACTTGAAGAGTTCTTGATTACAATTCTACCTATAATAGAGAAATCTCCCTAGTGTCAAGTTCCAGCTAAGAAGCCCAACAAAGCAAAATACCAGAGACATGGCGATTGCTAATGTAAACTTTATTAGGCATTAACAAACCGGTAAGATAGAAAGGAAGCTAGCTCTGAGAAAATGGTGGGAAGCAGAGAATTAAAAGAGTGAAACTTTCCCTCCCCTCTCTGACAGTTCAGGTCACATTGTCCAATATATCTTCCAGTAATTGTTATGAGAAGAAACTTCAGTTCGCCAAAACAACTCTTCAATGGCTTCAGCTCTCACATTGATAAGTGTTGTGTTCTTTGTATTCCCCCCCCCTTAATCCCCTATGCATATCCTGATCACCCATTAAGGGTGATTGCCCTTCTCCATCTGCATACAGTTTCATGCCCGTTGCTGGTTGGCTAACTAGCAACAGGGTCTTACCAGCCAATGGAATTGTGTGATTACAAGCCAGGGGAATCCCATAAAAGAGGGCTCCCCTGGCCC